GCGAGAGATCAAAGGACTTTTATGCATGCATATAAGCCTAACCAATGGACACAGACACCAGGGGGGTGAGGGCATGAGCGGGTGGGGGGGCAATGGGGGGAATAAGGACACATAAGTAATACCTTAATCAATAATGAAAATTTAAAAAAAGAAATATGACTAAAGCCACATTTTAAAAATTTTAACCTGCTAAGAATTCTATATTGTTTCATTTATCTCATGTACAATCTTTATATATTATCTTTTTTTTAAAAAATCTTTATTTTTGAAAGTATTACATATGTCCCCTTTTTCCCCCATTGACCTCTCCCACCCCCTTTCCCCCCACACCCCTATTCTCCCCCGGGCCTTCACCACCCTATTGTCTGTGTTTATGGTTATGCATATATGCATATGGCATATGAGTTCATTGTTTGATCTCTTCCCCCCTACCTCATCCTCCCCTGCTTTCCCTCTGAGGTTTGACAGTCTGTTTGATGTTTTTATGTCTCTGGGTCTATTTTAGTTCATGAGTTTATGTTGTTAATTAGATTCCACATATGAGTGAGATCATGTGATATTTATCTGTCTCTGACTGGCTTATTTCGCTTAGCCTAATGCTCTCATGGTCCATCCATGCTGTTGCAAATGGTAAGAGTTCTTTTTTTTTCACAGCTGCATAGTATTCTATTGAATAGATGTACCTGTACCACAGTTTTAATCCAGTCATCTGCTGATGGGCACTTATGCTGTTTCTAAATCTTAGCTATTGTAAATTGTGCTGCTATGAGCATAAGGGTGCATATATTCTTTCTGATGAGTGTTTCTGAAATCTTGGGATATATTCTTAGAAATAGAATGACTGGGTGGAAATGGAAAGTTCCACTTTTAATTTTTGAGGAACTCAAAACTGTTTTCCACAGAAGCTGGACTAGTTTGCATTCCTACCAACAATGCACAAGGATTCCTTTTTTTCCACATCCTTGCCAACACTTGTCATTTGTTGATTTGTTGATGATAGCCATTCTAACAGGTGTGAGGTGATACCTTATTGTCGTTTTAATTTGCATCTTTCAGTTGATTAGTGACTTTAAGCATTTTTTCATATGCCTTTTGGCCTTCTGTATGTCCACTTTGGAGAAGTGTCTATTTAGTTCCTTTGCCCATTTTTTAATTGGATTGTTTGTCTTCTTTTTGTTAAGTTGTATGAGTTCCCTATACATTTTGGAAGTTAACCCCTTATCAGATGTTTCATTAGCAAATATGTTCTCCCATGAAGTGGGCTCTCTTATAATTTTGTTGATGGTTTATTTTGCAGTATAGAAGCTTTTTATTTTGATGTAGTCCCATTTGTTTATATTTTCTTTAGTTTTCATTGTCCTAGGAGATGTATCCATATACATATTGCTATGAGATATCTGAGAGTTTGCTGCCAATGGTTTCTTCTAGGATTTTTATGGTTTCATGTCTTAAAATCCATTTTTAGTTTATTTTTGTGTATGGTGTAAGTTGGTGGTCTAATTTAATTTTTTGCATTATATATTATCTTTTAATATAATAGAGGCCTGGTGCACAAAATTTGTGCACAGGGGGGTGGTCCCTCAGCCCGGCCTGCACCTTCTCCAATCTGGGATCCCTCAGGGGATGTCTGACTGCCGGTTTAGGCCCTGCGGGATGCAATCCAGGACCACTGGCTCCTAACTGCTCGCCTGCCTTTCTCATCACCCCTAACCACCCATCTGCCTTCCTGATTGCCCATAACCACTCACCTGCCTGCCTGATTGCCCCTAACTGCCTCTGCCAGCATAATTGCCCCCTAACTGGTCCCCTGCCAGCCTGGTCATCCCCTAACTGCCCCCCTGCCAGCCTGGTCACCCCCTACCTGTCTGGAAGGAAGTAAGACTTCCAGAAAATGTCCGGTCGACCTGGTTTAATTAGCATATTACCCTTTTATTAGTATAGATAATAAAAGCCTAATATGCAAATCAACAGAAAGGTGGAATAATCAGTCACTACGATGCACACTGACTACCAGGGGGCAGATGCTCAACACAGGAGCTGCCCCCAGCCCTCAGGCCCAGACTGGCAGCAGTGGGAGGTGGGGCCAGTGAGTGGGCAGCGCCAGGCCAACAAAGGCGGGTGCCAGCAGGGATCCTCCAATCACCTGACCGGTCACCCCGCAGATCGGATCTGATCACCAGCTAGGCCTAGGGACCCTACCTGTGCATGAATTTCGTGCACCAGACCTCTAGTATATATAGATTTTACCAATAAACTATATATTTAATAAATAAATAAATAAAGCAGAAATATATATCTGAATGACCGAAGAAATGTGGTAATAGAAAAAGAAATAGGGAAGTCATTGGTGATTTGATGGAAAAGATGTGTTTTGTTCAGACAGATGGAGTACATTCTGGTAGGAATCGCCATGAGGCAGTAAGAGATGTGGGATGAATATTTCTATTTAGAAATCATCTGCCTAGAGGTGAGTTTTGGGCTTTCAGAGTAGATGAGGTCTCTGAATGAGAAAGCTGTAAGTAGAGGATTTGGGGAAGTTTTATTGGATTGGAAAGAGAAAGAAGACAGGAAACCAAGGCAGAACAATATTATATGACCAAGGGAGAGAGAAATATCAAGGAGGGAGTTCAAAACAATGTCAAATGTTGCCAAAGTATCAAAAAAAAACACACCAAGAAAAGGCCATTAGATTTGGTGAGGTCATTAGTTGAAATTCTGCAAATAGTGGGTGTGGAAGCCAGGTTACAGTGGGGTGAGAAAGTGGGTAGTAAGGAACAGGCCATGGTACAGACACTGAAAACAAAGGAGAGTCAAAGGTTGGTAAATGGGCACAACAGGATTAAGTGCCAGGTTTTCAAGATATGGGAGCCCTGTGCATGGTTGAAGGCAGGGGAGAAAGAGCCAGTACAGAGAGTGCTACTCATAGTGATAGGAAATGATTATAGTTGAGTCAGGGATATCTTAGAAGACACTTCAGGAGATGAGGTCCAGGATTCTGGTGAAGGCTAAGCTATGGAAATTGGGAAGTAACATATTTTCCTCTGAGACTTGGAGACTAACTGAATAGATAGTAATTACAATAGAGAGGAAGGAAGATATGTGCTTAAGCCCCAAAGTAGGATATGAAATCATCTGAAGGCATAGAATAGATTTAGAACCAAGGATGGTTGAACAGCATGTAGAGAGTATGTTGGGTTGTCATTAAAGATTAGTGGGCTTTTCTGTCAAGGTAAAGGTATCTAGTTCATGACTATGGCATATACATTTATGTAGAAAAAGACTGTAACACTATGATAATATTTATTCTACCTGAATTGTGCTGAATTCATGTTTATATCACAACATGGATGGAGTATACT